ATATGAGAGGACCGCTTGTGATAGAGCATTATTACATTGGGATTATTTGTAATTTGCCTCAGCCTTGTCAAAATTTTAATCCAGCTAAGCTGAACCAATTTTATTGATCGTTGTTGTCATCATGATTTTCACTTAAAAGTGTCCTTGATATAATACATTCAACTGGTAAATAGACATACATAATGAAAGCGCTTCAGGTATTCACCATTGATCATTGATTAAAGCAGCATAACTTGAAATCTGTTCGTTGGTTCTAAAGCTGAGAATTTGCTGAAATGAAACAGTAAACTTCAAATTTTAGCTCGATCTTATGCAGACGGATGATATGCTATTAAATTAGGCAATTAATGGCCTCCATTTCCACGCACCATGTTACTTGTATGGTTATATACGAACATTTACGATGTGACTGGATTGGAATGTGATTAAATTGTCGAATTCAAGCGACCTTATAGATAGAAACTTCTAATTATGAGTGAGTGTTGACGTAGCGTTAGTTGATAGAGTGCTTGAATGTTTCATTGCTTTGTTTATTTTTTATAAACTTCGTTTGCGCAGGCCGATGCTTATCGCTTTGGGTGATTCAATAAAAAGACGTAATCAGAGCAGTAATTAGTGAAAGTATTTAAGAAACATTGATAATAGACAGAATAAGTTGAAACTGATCAGTTTGCCGGATAGATCAAGAAAAAACTGAAATGATTTGGGATGGTGACTGAGTGAAAGGATGGGTTGATGAATGATGTTCTCTAATAGGAAAAACAAAGAAAGAATATTGCATTTAGAGCAGGATCACAAGAGGCACTTTTGACAGTGCAATTGCTGCTGCGACTACAACTTATGGTACTGCCATTTTTCGTGCTATTCTCAACGATTTGAGTCGTCGATCGCCCAATCCCTCGACCAAGACAGCCAAGCAGCCATCTCAGTTAGATGCTGCTTTCTAGTTCATCATTGTTTTCCTTTTATGCTCACTAGCAGTTGTACATTCATTTCATGTCGCTGCTTGGCTGCTATACCTCCTTCCCCTTTTCTCCTCGCTGCTACCTTACATTGATCGTAGTAGCAGCCATACATGGAATTGAGTAAAGTTAGTTACAACTCGTTATTTCATGTGTCTTTCTGTCAAGGGACTGCAGACAATGAATGTTTCGTTGAGCGAATAATGCTGCTGTCTAATGCTACTAAAGTAGCCATAATGTCGCAGTCGTTATCATGATCATCTCATAGCTGTGTATAGCTGCCTAGTTTCCAGCTAACTAACGTACACCAAAGCAATCGCCAACAGCATCAATGTTGAAAGTGGAGTAAATAACATCGTTAGTTTATAGTTCCTAGTTCTTTTACACTTATTCGTCGTTTGGTCAGATGTGTATTTGATAGCAAATATATTTATGCTGTACGCATGGTCATTAACGAATGTAACATACATTCACGTATCTTTTATATCTCGACAACCCACATGAAATAATTAATTTCATTTCTTTTTATTAGTCAGTCATAATTTAACATTATTATTGGTATTAATTTTGCTCTTATTTTCATTCCTTCGCAGCATATCCAGTACTACTACAAACAACAGCAGTAATAACTTTTATTGATGTGTTCCTTACATTCTCGAAATGGCCATCAAATAACTTCTTCAATCTTTAGTATGCTTGAAAGCCCACTTAACTGCTCCCATAAAACAACTGTATAATAGATCCAAGCTCGTTCTTAACATTTAACACTTAACTGCTCAACATTTAAATGACGATCATATGACGTGAGATACTCGCGTGAAGAACGTTACCAACATAATATTGTTTTTGCTAATGATATGCATCCACATGAATGATTAATTGGATGAGTAGTGAATAGTGAGTACTTTTTGAGCTCTTTTAAACGATGTTTACATCAAAAACCATCTCCACATGCAATTGTAATCCAATAACGGTTTTTTAAGCAAGAAATGCTCACTGAATAAATACTAATAACAAGCAATGATAACAACAAGTGAAAGCTTTCTCAACACTAATTGAGAAGTCATCATAAAGCGGTGATAAAACACTTTCAATACATATTTCTTACCAGTCCAAAAACAACGTTAACATCAATAGTGAATAAACGATACCAGTTTTCGAATAAGTGAAATGAGACTGCACTGGAAACACAAACGTTGTTCGTACGTATACCTATACATACGTCTGAATCATGTCAAATTACAAACCCACACATATTCAGTTGCCGCTTAAAATGCTTTTCATAGTTACTGAGCTGAAATTTTCACGCTTTCGTTCGTTCGGTCATCGAACTTAATCGTTTTCATCAAAAGTTCACTCAACACTTTAAGCATTCCACAGATTAAATCATCACTCAACATTAAGCACATTGAACTTCTTTAAGCATTAAATATGCATAGCACTAATTACAAAACTGCTTTTCTAATGAACATCATTTAGTTCTACAAGAACCATTCGATAACATCACATGCTGCTTTCAGTACACAGCTTGAGAGTGCTGTAATCTCTGAAGCAAAAATAAAACTGTCAATATGCATTAAAAATAATTTACAAATAAATCCCTACTTCGTACTTATGCACATATCCCTGCGATATCTGTCCATCTATCATGTTTATGTAACGTCAATAAATCACACTAAGTAAATAAGTCTCTTCAGATTTTCTTATCGGTTCATTCATTCCCATTTCCACTGGCTTTCATTTCTTAAGAGTCATCATTTAGTAATGTAACCAAAAGGAAACTATCCCCTCCCCCCCTCTCTCTCTCTCTCGCCTTGTCGTTTCGTTTCGCTGATTCTTTCTATGTCAATAATTAGCACCAGATGTAGCAACTAGAACGAGGAAATAAACATAATGGAAATTCAACTCGGAAAGAGAAATATTCATAAATACGCATTCTTTGAAACAAAGACAGTGTTACAATAATGATCTAAATGTTGCTTTCTGTTGTCGGCATTAATGGTGATTGTAAATGCAAAACTGTTTAACGAAAACAATATGAAGAGAACTTGAGCATCAATCAAACAAGTGAGTAGCGCCTCTTGTTCTTCTTCATCTTCACTTATTTATTGAACGTTTTTCCAACCTCATTCTTACCACTAACCCACTAAACGTTTTTCCTCATTCTCATACTGCCACAACATGATGTATGTTTACACTTTCACGATATTATCTAATTTCATACGATACGACGAATCAACAACCACATGAATGCTGTTTAAATATTGAAGTGAGTGCTCGTATAGACATTTTTCTAGTTACCTTCCTTTTTGTTTGAATAGGCTACATTTCAGTAAGGTGAATCACTGAATATTTGAACTCTTCAGCTAAACGAAATTTCTCTGTGAGTGTTCATCAAGAAGAACCGATAAAATTAATTCCAAATGAATGGGCAAACGTCATAATTTTCCACGTTTCCATAAGAACCGACAAAAAAAAAAAACAATATTCCTTTACCGATCATCTAAGAACAGTCGAAACTATTTCCATCTTTTTCCAGAAAAATAGATTTTCAGAATTACATCAATGCAACAAAATTGCTGACTGCTCAGCAGTCGCCGAGAGGAGATAAGTACTGCTGCTTTTGCGGTTTAGGTGAACGGAGTGATCGAATAATCACATCAAATCAAGAATCCAGTGATGAACGTTGATCGACTGATGATCTGCTTTCACTCACCGAACAATTGTAACATTTTAATGGATTAAAAGTTATTTTTCACACTGCCTACTTAATTACGGGCTGACTGGTTGGGATTATGAATGAATGAGACAACGCACTGATATTATTGATTAAGTAATGATCACATATAGAATCTGAACGGTCGAATGTGTCGAATGGACAGATTGATGTTCACTGGGATATTATGAGACGCAAGCATCCATCAAGATGACGAGCCATCTTACTGATTGCTTGATATTAAAATTTAACCAGAAAAAGAATCGATCTTCGGAACATTTGACTGGCTATGGATATGCAAAGAAATGCTTGCAGCAGAAACGTAATGTCATCACTCCATTAATGATAACGACACACATTCTGAATGAGTGTTCTTTCAAACGTACGCTTTCAATTTGTTCCTACAACGGACCCGAGGCAACTGATATGCGCACACATTAATTGCAAAACTCCGTGTCACGGCAGTCAAGAATGATTACATGAAATTGGCAAAATTTTATTGATAATGTGTACATAGAATATACTGATCAGTTCTGTGGTTATTCGTGATAACTTTTCATGATGTGGTATTTCTCAGAAAAAAAAAACAAAATTACGAAAAAAAGTAACCTAGTGAGAAGTGGTTCGCTATTTGACTGGTTGGAAATGATTAAATTGTTAATATGATTGCGCTAGTGGTGATGTGGGCATGGTAAACATAAGAGATGAGCGAATATAGCGAAACAAGCAAAATATGAGTGATAAAAAACTGAAGGAATTAATGATTGAGGAGAATATTGCAGCAAAGTAGAGGCAACAGCAATAATAACTATTGCTATGCTGCTTTTATACTCATATTCATCGTTACACTTCTTCAACATTCTTCTTTCCTTTCCCTTCTGTTTCAAATCAGTTATATTGGAAAAAACATACACATATGTATAAATAAATATTATAAATTAATATATATGCATTCATCAAAATATTCATCAATCAAACTAGAAAATTAATATAACAACACAACATCACAAAGAGAGCATTTTGGAATTATTACGATTATAATATCGATATTATTAGTATTCAAATTCAATACAAACCGAGATTGTATTCCACGAGAAAACAGCATGATTGTAAGGGTTGTGGCGCGGCACAAATCATTCATTGAACATGAATCAATTGGAAATGAGAGAGGTGTGAAATTAGAAGAGACCGTATGCAATGATGGAACAAACGCACAAACAATTCTTAAAGCAGCCAAACCAGCGAGCTGATTGATTGCATTCGAGTTGATGAACTTATTGAACAAGAGCTTTTCAAACTGATATGAGATGATAGTAGCAGTACTAAAACAAGCAGCTCACCGTAACAATTTCGAGCATTTCGTCTCGTGAGATGAAACCGTCACCGTCGAGGTCGTACATTTTGAAAGCCCATCGCAACTTTTGCTCCACTTGACCACGACTGGTCACCGAAAGTGCACAAAGGAATTCGCGAAAATCAATGCTTCCGTCTTTGTTAGCATCGAATGTACGGAAGACGTGCTCAGCGAACTTAGATGCGTCACCGAAAGGAAAGAAGTTGGCGTATATAGCCTTGAATTCTTGCACAGAGAGACGCCCGGATGGACAATCTTTAAGGAAGCCTCGGTACCAATCGTTAATTTCGCTCTCAGTGAATAGCGTTTCGTTGAGCAAATCACTAAGACAATCAGGCTTCAGCTTGCTATTCTTCTTGCCCATTGTGTGACGGATGGCAGCACAGCAGAGCACAACACAGAATGGATGAGGATCGGATGGAACACCAAGAGGACACGCTTAACGAATGAACGATAAACGTCGTGACGTCAAGTGAATGAACGAAATACGAAGCAAACCGAACAAATGTTGTTGTGCTCTTGCTGCCATCTCTAACAAAACAGTTATTGCTGCCACAACTACTGATCCTTACAGCCGCGTCATAACTCGATACGATTCATTGCTCACTCTCTCACTGCTCATCACGCATCATCCTGTTGTTGCGCCCCCGAATTGCATCGACAGCTCGGTTAAACTTATTCAGTCCAATATCCTTCAGCTTCTACTTTAAATGCACTATGGTCGTCTTCTAACTGTGCGCCCACAAATGCTTTAACTGTGAGCATTAAAGACATCTAATGTTCTGCTGACATCTAATATAATTGTGCCATAGATGAACAAAAATTGATTACGCGCTATAGACATTCATCACATATCAGTAATGTACTATTTGATGATTTTGTGAGAGGGAACAGAATGGAACAAACAAAATTTGCATATATACGAAGAGCGCGCAAGCAATGAAAAGAGAATGAGTGGAATGAAGGTGGAATGATCACAGTGGTGGCCAGATAAGCTATTTCTTCACTTCGTTTGTCAAGATCTGGAATAGCTCCTTATCGGCGAGGCACCCGTCCACGAACTCCTTCAATGTCAGCTCCTGCAAATCACCACTATTACGCTTGCGTCACTCCACTCACAATCACCATCAAGACATTTCTTTCATTACTCTAAACATAACATTGAGGTTACATTTCCTTTCGAATCACTTAATTACAACCAAATGATAATTCATCACATCAGTTTGGTACTTCGGTGAACATCTAAAGTGCAAAATTTTCGACGTTCGTCAAAAATTCATTCAACAGTGAATAATCATAATCACTAATTATTCATTTTCTTGTTGAATCAGATTACTAACGAGTACAAAAACTAATCAGTATCATCTGAAAAAAGCCACAGCAAAACATATTTACCATCAATCATTCAAAATTGTCTTTTCATTGGTTTATTCGCTATGATAAGCTTAGCATCTAACAAAAATCATCTACCAATGCTACAGTATTCGATTCAACAAGATGAATTTCCAGCCGCTACAAAATGAACGCTAACATCCGTTTTCCTTCTCTTATGCACTCCCACTTGAATGCAACCACTCGAAAATGAGTTAAAAAATAAACTAGAGTGGGACCATTCAGTTTCGAGATTTCAATTTCATCACGACTATGTCTGGATAATTTCGCAACGCTCTCAATTCGAAGGACTCAATTGCACAAAGCTGAAACTTTTTCTCTTCCACTCCTAAGACGCATTTCATTGAAATTTCGATTTGGATTCAGAGTTTTATAGTAAAGATGAGTTGTTAGTCTAATAGTCGAAAGCATATCCATTAGATTGTTTCATGAATTTTTGGATTATCCTTCAAATCAAACAACCCATATGAAGAACTACGTAGCTTTAATTCATTCTGCGTCTACTATTTCTACCTCCTCGAGGCAGCTAATCAGATACAACATACTTTGCTTGATGCAGTTTTTTCCTTTTTACTGCCCAGTTTTGAAACTCAACATTATCATATTCATAAGTACATATTGTCGCATCTTTCACATTCCACGAATCCAATAAACTTTGCGGCTTATTCGGTAGTGCTTCAGCAGTTTCAGTTCTTATGTAGCAAATGAAATTTTTTTTCGTGATTCGAAAATTTTCAGCGCGATTTCCCGCGCACTACGATAAACTCATAGAATTGTGTCATGAAAATCAACAAGGCCGCGAACTGTTACTTTCGGAAGAAAAAATAAGCAATTTGAAGAATATTTTAAATATTTGAAGGCTTCGATGAAAAATGAAATGAGATGGAAACACTCTGGGAGAAATTGACTGTACTTGAGTATATCAAATATCATTGAGGTTCTAATTACTGAACCTTCTTACGTGCTCGATTGTGCAATTCACTATTTTTCATTTCTCGTAATTGAAACTTTTTGTCAATACCATGCATCAATAACATTCTTACATTATTATACGACATAAATGTTTTTCTTTTGAACTGGATGCTGAAACGAACACATCAGAAAATAATCTGGCTTAGCGCGTTATTAAGATATGACGGCATGATTTGGTGATAAGTAGCTGACTGATTATCCTACTTGAAGGGATAAGGCAAAACTAGAAACCTTGTCATTGTTGACATCCATCTTTTCAAATATCATCTTCGCCCGCTTTCTCGGCGAGTCGTCCGCAGATTTTGTTACTTCAGGACCGAGCATTTCATATATTGCCTTAACAAAAAATCGAAATCAATTCATGAATCGAAATTAATTAAAAGCCAACAAAATGTAAAAAATGCTACAATCAACAATTGTAGGTTCCAGTAACAATAATTCATTCTCATTAATTGCTAATGTCCACGTGAAAACTCAACGAATATATTAATTCAAATGAATCAGCAAAATTTCATATACAAAGCGAAGCGGAGAAATAACAGTGATCAAGATAAGGAGAGTTTCAGTCAAATGAAAGTAATATCTATCAACTAAAGCCAATATCACAATCCAATAATTGAACTCTGATGCATCCGTTAGCTTTAATGTATTAAATCGGATTCAATAGAAGGGTCAAAGGTTATGTGATATAACATTTTACGTCTTGATGACCTATACTAATGTAGCAGATATGGTTAACACATTGCATGCAATAAAAATATTGTTCAGTGTGTACATTCACAATCAGCAACAACAATAACAAGCGATTTCCTTCACAAAAAGCAATGCATCACTGCAATCAGTAAGCTTATAAAAGTGCTGTCCAATCTAGTTTTCTCTGTCGTTGTTAAATGATGATTGAAGTTCAAATAAAAAAGAAAAGCTCTTTGATCAGTGGAACATTCCAATGCTATTCAGCTTGAAACAACAGTGGATATAAAACTAGACTTGCATTGGCTGATATTATATAAAAAGCCTTACTTCTATAATCTTGATCATTTCCTTCTCATCAATAGTGCCATTGCCATCAATATCATACATCCTGAAGGCCCATTCTAATTTCTGCTCGGGAGTTCCTGAGCTAGTTACATTGATCGCCAGCAGGAATTCTTTGAAATCGATGAAGCCACTATTGTCGGTATCAAATGTTCGGAATACATGCTCACAGAAGCCTTCCGCGCTACCCGACGGAAAGAAATCTTTATAGACTTTAATGAACTGCTCTTTTGTTAAGTGTCCTTTCGGACAGTCTTGCTGCAAATCGATTGAATAATTAACTAATTACTTCCTAACACTGCAAAAATTTGAGTAAATCTTCGACAAGGACCATGATTCATTCGATAAGATAATGAGTGAATTAACTGAGTTGAGCAAACGAAAACGACTCATTTCTTTGGAAAATCAACAGGTGGTTGCAAAATTTTAAGAAGACTTTTAAGAGAGCCGAATAAATTGACGATGAAAAAAGCTATAGTCAGATGAGGTAATCAAAAGAAAGAGGCAGAATGTGACTTACAACAAATCCTTTATACCACTCTTTGATTTGCTCTTCGGTAAAGTTAGTATTCCTCTTGAGAAATTCGAGATCTTCTTTGGAGAGCTTCGGCTTCGAGCCCTTAAGACCCATTTGATGGGAAAAACTTTTGTAAAAAATTATCAGATTCGATGAGTCGGATAATGACTAGCAGTCAGTCAGATGAAAGAGATAGATGGATGCTTGAAGATTGATAGTTGTGTTGTAAAAATAAAATTTAGTGGTTTATTATTAAATATGGTGATAATAATATATTACAAATGAACTCGAACACGATGAGTATCACGACGAGTGCCAGCAGTGATAAGATGAACGAAACAACACATGTACTAGCTGCTCAAGATCGATTGCTGCTGCTGCCCGCACACATGCAGTCCTTAAGCTCCACCCCAGGCACAGCCCTAATTGGGCCATCTCTGCTCACAAAATCAATCGTTGCCCCGCCTATTCATTTCGCTTCTTGCTTGGAATTAGTTCTTGTGTCTATACGATATGATGGCATTCGGCCAATCTTTTGACGGGTGCAAATGTTGCTGCTGCTAATGATTTGTTGTTGTAACAAGTATTGATCCATTAAATGATGGATTTCGGTTTGCTGGCTGAAAACTGTGAAACCGCGAGGGAGAGTGCATTGGTCGGTAATTATGAACGAGCATCTGTCTTTTATCAGTCAGCTATCGCACAGATATCACGTCATATCAGTAAACTAACACTAGACGATCCGAAACGGTGTCAGTGGTCAAAGGTTAGGTTTCTTTTGATTTCAGTGCATTTCAGGTTGGTAAAATCACAGCCGCACTTCGTTCGTGCAAACATTTCTTGCTGTGCTCTAAATAAGTGCCAGTAACGTATTCAACTGCGAATGTGAACGAAATGCCGTTTTGATTTCACCGATCTAAAATACAAAATCACCAATTTCAGCTATTTTTCAATTTTTGCGTTTCATTTTTTCAGGAAGTTATGCGTTACTCTTCCACTCCATACTTTTGAGGTATTCTACCTGTGATTTGAATATTGCAAAAATTTATAATGGTTACAATATGACTCTTTGATATTTCAAAGTTCGTGTGAACTGAATTATTTAAAAAGTAGATTGCTTCTGGATCAGTTTACTCAGAGCCGTTTGCATTTTCAGTCGAAATCGATTTTACAAAGTGAACTGAATAGTGTGAATTCGTTGGCAAGTGCATCATCTCAGTTACGTCAGTTGGCAAATGGTGCAATAGCAACATCGCCTGTTGACGCTCCACCGACCGATCCGGATGTATGGCCCCCGCCGGCGCCATTACCTCGAAAGAGTGCACTTACTGCACGCAGCAAAACTGTCGGTCGTAAGCCAGCGTCGTCGCAAAGTGCTGATAATAAAGGCAAGAAATCAACCATTCGAAAGTCGGTCAGCCAGAGTGGAATTGACCCGAATACGTCAACAAAACGAGCCAGTTCTGTTGGTCGAGTCACCAAAGTTGAGGTTCAGGAAGAACCGGTCACTGATGAAAAAGAAAGTGAAGTATGTCTCTGTTTTTTTTTCACTCACTGGCGACATTTGTCTGTGCTGGTCGTTTGTTGAAGATATTTTCTGTTTCATTTTAAAAAAAATAGCAGCTGGAAGGCGTACACTTCAATTAGAGTTCATCTTAATTGAAACGTTAATGCTAATGATTCTTCGTTTTGTCAATGAATATATCATTCTGCGATCTTATGATCATTTCAGTGTTCCTCCTCGCAAAATTGTATTACAAATGAATTTCCATTCGAAACTAATTGTAAATGCATTTTCAAGTATTGTTCCTCAAATGGTTTATGATGAGTAGAAAATTAACAGAAACCTGACATAATTGAAAATAATCGACCAAGATTTGCATGAAGTACTTGAAGAGGTCTTTTGTGGAAGAGGATTTTCATTCATGATACTTCATCGGTAATTTGGATCGAAATGTTATGGAAGTAGTAATTTACACAGTGTTTCTCTTTCGCTGAATTAAGAGAAGAATATTTTAGAAGAAAGAGACTAAAGAAGATGAAAAGATATTCGATGGTAAAGGATACGATAAGGAATTAATTGAAGCAATTGAACGTGACATTATCCAGCAACAGCCGGATGTTCGTTGGTGCGATATCGCTGGACTTGAGGATGCCAAGAAGCTGCTCAAAGAAGCTGTCGTATTACCATCTGTTATTCCACAGTTTTTCAAAGTCCGTCGTCACGAGTTCAGCTTTTATCTAACTTTGTATTGTCGCCAAGACAATGTTGTTTCTTGTTCTTGATTCAAGACCATGAGTAATCAGCTTTATTAAATAAACGTTTAGTGAACAGCAGTAATCGATCATAACGGTGAGAATTGACGTGAAAAATATATTGACGTGATTATGGTGAAAAATATAGTAATATAGTGACGTGATTATTCATTGGTTAGATGTTCAGGGAATCAGACGTCCATGGCGAGGTGTTTGCATGGTGGGACCACCAGGCACAGGCAAGACGCTTTTGGCTAAAGCAGTTGCAACCGAATGCCGAACGACATTCTTTTGTGTCTCATCTTCAACACTCACGTCAAAGTATCGTGGCGAATCCGAGAAGCTTGTCCGTATTCTGTTCGATTTGGTTGGTAGATTTTCACTTGGGTCATACTTTTATCTATTTGTATCTACATTTTATCGATCTTACTTTTCGTATCTTTTCCAATATTTTTTTGTTATATTCAAATATTTGTGAATGTTAATGATTGTTGATTAATGTTGATTCGAACTGAATTAATTCTTATGAAGCAATTCGATTTTAAAGGCAAGGTTCCATGCACCATCAACGATATTTATCGATGAAATTGATAGCTTGTGTAGTCGTCGTGGTGCGCAGACTGAACATGAAGCATCAAGACGTGTCAAATCAGAGTTGCTCATCCAAATGGATGGTTCGTTAATGTTGTTATTATCGTACTTTTATTATCATCTCTAGGTGTTTCTCCTATTCGCAAACTAATCATTGATGAACAGTCAATTTGAGTTTGATTTCAATAAGTGACAATGCAAATGTGTTTTCATGTGTTGTGAAAACGGAACGTTGAAGTATTTGCATCAGAAGATTTGATTTTAATCTGTGACTGCTTGTTCAGGATGCTCAGCAGATATGAGCCGAATGGTACTCGTACTAGCAGCGACAAATTTCCCTTGGGATTTAGATGAGGCGCTGAGAAGGCGCTTGGAGAAACGAATTTATATTGCGTTACCAGATAAAGACGATCGACTTCAACTGCTGAAACTTGCACTTGCAGAAGTGGTGATTGATGAGGACGTTGATTTGGATGAGGTGAGTTCGTTTGCTCTTCATATTGTTAGCTTGTATTTGACATTCTCGCGTTTCATCTTACTGACTGTGGAAAAAATTTCGAAAAATAGAAAAAAAATGCCATTCTCATATTTCAAACTGGAATTTCTGATACATTTGCTTTGGTGGAATCTGTTCCATTCGAGATAACATTTGCTTTTCGTTGACTGTTCAAAATGAAGAAGCAGTCATTTGTGAACCTGATTGAATGCATCGTACACTGCACTGAAAGCAGAAGCACAACCCTTACCATCTTTTTATAAATGTTAGCTACTCATCCGTCTCTTCTATTGCACATCCCAACTCTATATGTTGGAAGTGTTTTTTTGCGTGAGGTTTACTTTTTTTTTCGTCTCATTTCGATTTTTTAAAGTGTTTATTATCGCAAGTTTAAGATTATCATAAGTACCAACCATTTTTTCCGATTGATTTTGTGCATTCTCGATTTGACTGCATGTACTACTGTGGTAGTTTTGAGATTCTGCATGTGAAATAACGCGTTTTATTCAGTATCACACCGAAGTGACGCTTGTTGAATAAGCAAACGACTGATCAATAGGAGATACATAATTATGCATAAACTAATCATTCAGTCAACGAACCAATCGATTATGTTCAAGGTTGCCGATCGTTTGGATGGGTATTCTGGCGCGGATATAACAAATGTTTGCCGTGAAGCAGCAATGATGAGTATGCGTGCTCGAATTGCTAATTTAACAGCTGATGAGATCAAGGAACTGGCCCATGAGGAAATCGATCTGCCGATAACGAGAGGTGATTTTTCATCGGCAATTGAACACACATCACCATCAGTATCGCACGATGATATCCATAGATATGAACAATGGATGCATGATTTCGGTGCTGCATAGCATTAGTGTTTATGTGCATAATTCGTCAGCCTAAACTTCATGCACCCTTCAAAAGCGTTGTTCATTTTGTGTGGAAGCCTATTCATGTATATGTATATATTTAATGTTCATTTGCTGACGAAAGCATCAACGAACTGTTTATCATCGAGTTCGGCGGCCCTCGTTCATGCAAGTATTTTCTTGACTAATCACTCCAGTGGCTCAATATGTTGAAGTGAATGAATGCAAGAAATAATGCGGGTTCGCGGCATAATCATTCACTTTGCTGGAGTTTTTATTCATGCAATAAGTGACAACTGATTGCAATGTAAATTTTTTCGCTTGTAAATTTGGATGTCCATATTCAGTGATCATTGTTCGTTCTTGTTGATGTTTCGTGTAATATGCCGTAATATATAACCAATGAATATTTCACATTTATTCGTGCAATAAATAATTGAATATTCAAAATGGTTTCACTACAAATGAATGAGTTTCAAATGCTGGAAGTGTGATGCACCACCGTGATGTATTATTCTTTTTGTTCGTCAAACATCCATATTCCATTTGATTGATTTATGAAAATTTGAAAGCTGTACTAACATCTTTCATAAGTTCAACTGATTTTCTCCAAAAAAAAAACACACTTTGGAAGATGTATACCGCACCTTTTTGATTTCGTTGTAAATGATTGTTTCAAAATGTCTTCCATATTTCCAAAATATTCTGTTTTTAGCATTAGTCTTAAGCTTAGAATACTTCGAGGACTTGCACTTAGAATCAGATCGTCCTCAACAATTTGAACAAGACAAAATAATTCCTGGAGCTTACGATAGTTGGTGCACTCACGGCTCAGTATTAAAGGTTTTGGATGTTAAGCACATTGATTTGAGAATGAGCGTTTGATTGTGTTGATGCATGGCAAAAATCTGACTGAATGATTACAAGCAACGTTTCTCTCACAATACGTAGTTTTCATTTAATTTCTGTATTTCAGTAAACGGTTTTTGAGATTGAATCAAGTTTGAAGAAAGAGGAGTATCCAGCGGTACTACTTTGTTATAACTTTTTCTGCCGCATGGAGGTGGCGAGTTCATCAGCCGGTGAATTTTTGCTTCTGATTATTACGGATGTGTTAACGAGTTGTTTTATGAGGTCATTTGATTCGTTCGAAATACGAGCATTTACTAGGTGCATACTCGTTTCGATTCACCTGCACTGTTTTTGGTGTTTATGAATCAAGATTGCTTCTGTTCATTAGTCTTTGGGTGGAATGAACATAACGAAACCAGATCATACTATTTCGCGAAATGAAATTGTATAGCAATTCTCGTTTGATAAGCACACTATCTGCTTAACAAAATTCTATCACAGACTGACATTCGTATGGAATTTAGTTTCTGTGAACGTACATAGCTGACTTTCATGGTTACTGTTTTGAGCGTCAAACCCACGGTTGGCTCAGTCAAAATTGGTGATCAATCGTCGAAGGCAAGAAGGCAATCCTATCCTGAAATATATTCGCAATATTCCATTCGAATGGACCGATATTAAGGTTACAGACCGTTTCCTTCCTGAGCAATTATTTTGTCTTTTGGCAATTTAAGCTAACGTACTTTAAAAGTTGGATTATGCAGTCAGCTTATTCATTCAAGGTTCTATCGTTTATTGTTTTGCAAGAGCGATTCGGATAAAACGTTCAATCAGAAGATGTCAGCGAGACAGTCATTTGTGTTCTTTATTTAATCAGCAAGTCCAACTCATTACGAGTTTATGCCTCTCTGTTATCACCAATATCAATAATATCACATTCTTTCTTCCTTGGCATTTTTCTTTACGCGCAGCTGACAATAATAGCGTTGGGTATCATCCGTCTTCATGAAATTATAACTTGGATCATAAAAAATTTGACGAGCACAGAGTTTTTGAGTTACTCTCCCATACTGCCCAATGATTTGTAGGGAGAGGGACTCAAAAGGAGTCCAAAACTACGTTCCGATTGATCGGTTGAACATTCGTCTAAATCATTCATTTGTATATTACTTATAAAATTGCACATTATTCACATGTGCATTGCTCGAATGAATAGATCTGATGTGTAACTGATGTCGGCGAGGTAATTGTTGAAAATTTTTATGCGATGTTAAATAAATCATTACATACCTATTTTTCGACGAGTTGCACAACGAGTGAACTGAGTCAGTCGGAGTCGGCTGATGAGCAATGAATGCTTCTGTGGCGTTCTTATCATTGTCTTCTAAGATGAAAAATAATTATTGTCACCAGGAGATAACTTAAAGTCTGCAGAGTGTATTCGCATTTCTATTTTTGTGAATGATTTGAAGGCTGATTTCGAGGTTGGCCGAGAGATGGGTATTTTGTATTTGAGCTTGAAATGGCATAAACTACATCCATGTTATATCGAAAGTCGCATGGCATCAGATTTGAATGAATACGCAATCAAAGTAAGCTGATTTATCATTTCATTGTTAAAGTAAATGGTAATGAAGTGAATACAGCGTCAGTGTTTCATGTGATATTTTCTTCGAGTATCGTTATCTTTCTGTATTTTGCTTGTAACTTTATGCATTTGTCTACTGAGGTAGATGTGAGGCTGAGATAAACGCATTCTTCAGATTTGTTTAGCAAAGTTCATTCGCAACTGAGAAGATAAGGAAATTTTGATTGGTTTAGAGGTAGAAATTCGATCAGCAATCGTGTGTGAAAAGTATTTTTATATCCGATATAATGGTAAAATAATGATGCAAGGCCATAGATGGATCGACGTTCTTTCTCGATTCTGCTTTCAGGTATTGTTGGTGTTGGTAAACATTGATCAGTATTCGATGCTACGTGAGTTGAATCTTCTCTGTTATCAAGCCAATTTAAAACTTGTTCTATGTTATTCGGCTGGAGAAGCTGCCGAATATCTTGAAGGTTTGCATTCATCGAGGAACAAGAACGAGCAAAATGTGGTAGATGCGTTTCAAGAGAAAAAGAAGAAACGCCTAGGAATCAGTGAAACAAGCCAGTCCACTGAGGTTAATATATTATTGAATATCACCGATTGTATTGTTTTATGCTCACTTTTATTAGGTAATCATTTATTTTAATTTCACCATTTTATGCAATGTGCTGAAGGTGTTTCTAATCTGCCACACTCTGAACAATTGTTTAACATCTGCGCTTTGTGTTGATTGCAAAGGTTTATGTGAAATCATATCTCAACAAGAAATATGCTTGAGTTCTTTCACCTTAGCGTGCTATGCACTGTTTTAATACGGTTACGTGTTTTTTAGTTTGCTCACACGCTCTAACTTTTCAGATCATTCAACAAGCGGTCGCTTTTTTGTGTAGCATACGCTCGGTTACTACCTCAGATGCACAACGTCTTATCGGCACTTTCGGTAGCATTAAAGCAATCGCGAATGCCGATATGGAAAAACTTTCATTGTGCCCTGGTTTAGGTCCTATCAAAGCTGAAAACATCTACACGTTTTTCAGAGCGACGTTTATTAAAAAATGAGTGGCTGCTTGTTTTTGTATGTATACAATTGTTAATTTTGACAAATTGTTCTTTGAATAATTCTTCTGATTATTTTTGTCTTATATTATGTTGTATTTTTATGACCTTTTAACCGTTGCATTTGTTGCAGTCAGTTGTGTCGTCTACTTTTGCTCGCAACAGTATTCTACAATGTGTAATTAATCGTTTCCATCGATAAAATTTCGCTACCACTCATTTTCAATTCATTCATCGTTTCGGGTCCTTTCCATATTATGCTTACTTTTACCTAAAATAAGAGTATTTCTCAACAACCTGAATGTTGCGTTCATTGCGAAAATTGTATTGTACGATAATGATTATAGCGTTCAATATGTGATCGAAACAAATTAGGTTGTTGAAATAAATGGATGTATGGTTAATTGAAAACTTTTCTTTATAATTATTTTTTTTCTTATTCAGCGATTCTTTATTTCTCGAGAAAGCATCTCGGGATACAGTTTTGCTAAGTATTCGATTGCTTGAAATGAGACTAAGTGAACTTTCTATTTGAAAAGAAATATATGCAATTACGTGAAAGTTTGGCTGCAATTTGCATGGCGTCGAATATTTGGATGTTATCGTGTTCTATTGTTCAACGTTTCAATTCATTCGATTCCTATTCAAATTCAGTGAAAAAGCGAATCGCATTATAGGATCTCTTTTGATATGAATTGAGTTGCTGGAATATAATGGCAATAACTGAGCAATCATCGATGAAAGTTGTCAATGAGATGCGTAAGTTTCTTTCCAATCAAACTGATTAATGCTGCATTTTCTTGACTAGGAATCTAGAGGTGCGTCATTTTCCCAACTTTTTCCGACGGCGCCTACTGAGCAGTCAAGAGGTGAATTATCTGAGGAATGCGATGTGTACGTAGATTATGTGCACAATTGCGATATTTGTCATTTCTCTGATGTTTGATCACTAAACTGAAGGCTTTTGTCGATTTCTAAAACCTTCGCAATTTTTCTAATCCATCAGTTGATGAGCTCGATCGTTTGATTTGTCCAGTGGAGCACTGTTGACGGTGACTTAGTTGGGTTTTGTTGCTATACAACCACTCTTTTTCAGTTGGATACGCAATTATAGTGATCTTTTCTGTGCTGCATTTTATTCTGGTGCGAGTGTTGTATTGGTATGTTCCCGAACCGTATATGGATGAAATATTTCATGTGAACCAGACAAGACGATATTGTGAGGGCGACTATAGGTATATAATTGACTCAGTTATTTCTTCATCATGTTTAAGTCAGCATTTAGGGTGTTTAGTGTGTTGTTCACAGTTGTTAAAAAATCTATAAAATAAACCAGTTTTTTTTCAAGAACTACTGTTGAAAATGTCGTATCAGTCGCCTAATGAAAGTTACCGCTCTATGTCTGAGTCTTTCTTGTATAGCCCTAGTGATAGACCTCAGTTTGGAGTTCTCTTCGAATGCGGTTGTGATGGATTTTACGAGAAGTACACTGTAGAGTTGATACAAGAAACGAGCAGTGTTATTGCACAAGGGTCGTACATTGACTACGCATTGCAATCACAAATGCTTTATTGGAAGGTAACTCATGTTTATGCAACTGAATGGATATTGTACATCTGATCGAAATGTCGTTTGGTAAGAGTGAGAACACGATCCGATTATAGTGCATCAGTAGTATTTCGTTTCATTTAGGATGATTGTTCATTGATTGTAGGTTAGGATGTGATCAAAAGGGACAAGCAAGTATCTGATCTTATTTTTATTGCAGTTGGAATGAAAAGATCACAACACCACCAGCATTATATGTATTAACCATGCTGGGTGGATTGTGTGAGCGCGAACGTTATATCAATTCATTGTTATGGCCGGTCGGAGTTATTGGAGCGATACGTTTCAGACGTTTTTTCAGCGATAAGTTGCTTGTCGCGTCATCGATTCTTGTCATGCATCTGTCAGTTCTTTATCAAACATCACTACTTTTCTACACAGATCTTTTCTCGTTAACACTCCTCTTGTGGGCCTTCTCATTCGAAAATATGTGCGCATCTTCCATCGCGTTTCTACTCGCCATATTAACACGTCAAACTAATATTGTTTGGGCAGCTAGCTTTGGCGTTTATCACTTATTGAAGCGATTAGATACACGCTCAGCAAAAACTATTTCAACATCTTTGTTACGATCCATAGTTGGTTTATTGCCGCTGCTCAGCGTGGGTGTTGGTTTTGTGGCGTTCTTCATACTGAACGATTTCAACATTGTGCTCGGGGATCATTCGGCTCATCGTCCTGTGGCACATTTCATGCAACTCTACTACTTGATTACATTTATGTGCTTCTTTGCCGCACCTTATATATTCTTCTCGAATCACCTTTTGCAAGCCATTCGTGACGTTTTCTTGAACAAACCATCACGTTATCTATTTTACTGCATATGCATAGCTTTATCTGTTCATACGTTTACTTATGAGCATGATTATCTGCTGGCTGATAATCGTCATTTTACGTTCTACATTTGGCGTCGATGGTTTCGTCGACACGCACTTTGCAGATACCTTTTAATACCGATCTATCTAATTTGCGCCAAAACGATTGTTCACTCGATTGCGCATATTTCACGTTTATTGACTTTATTATTTGTCGTTTGTGTTGTTCTTGTTTTAGTGCCTGCTCATTTGTTAGAGCCGCGTTATTTTATTGTACCGTTCGTTTTATGGAGACTTAGCGTTAGAGAGACGAGATTATGGGTTGTACTTATTGAGATTCTTTACCAACTGATCATCAACGCTTTGGTTTTGTATCTCTTTATCAGTAAGCCGTTCAAATGGCCCAGTGAACCAGATAATCAACAGCACTTCATGTGGTAGTGCGAACGATTTATATACGCTTATTTTTAGAAATATTTTCGTTGATTTTTCAAATGCAAAATCTGTTTCTAATTTCTCATCTGTTAATACCATCGAGTCGCCATGACGCGTCAATATTTTTGCAAAACTGTTACATGCTAAATGATCATACTGAAAGTTACATGATCTTATGTTTCCCATGATTGAACAAGGTCACTGAGCGGTTTGGCTTTACCGCACATAAGCTAAATGTTGTTTAATAGATCGGTTTTTGAGACCACACAGTCTTACAATGAGGATTTTATTTTATTTATTAATACGTTGTATAGCTTCGATGACAAACTGGATTTATTCAGCAAGCTACTGCTCATTTCCCTCAAAAGAAAGAATACTGAATCAGTGCCATATATTTATCAGCCAATGTCAAGTTAGATCTTTTTAATGCCAGCGTTTGCTTCGTGCCCTTATGCCTACTATTGCTTCAATTCATATATCCTTGTTCGACAACCACGAGTATGTTTTCAAGATTTCTTAATCCGTCTCCAAAACCTTACTATTGTGAATCCTTTTTGAAATGAGTGAAGACTATCTACGACTTTGTTAATCGTCAGTTTATATCCGAAAGGAGTGTGATTTTCATTATCTCTGTTTGGACAGTAAATGCATCGCATGTCCCTGATACGAAGAACACAACCACCAGTGTGAAAAAATATTTTGTTTTATCTTCTTAGTAGAATCCGAATGGATAAAAACCCATTCGGATTTCTTTTAAAATATTCTGTCGAACACAACCATTCATAAATCAACATACTTAAATGGTATCCACCAATATTTTGAGCAAATAAATTATTTATGTGCACAAGGTTGGACCGAACGAACTGTTTTTGATGATCGTAACGAATCGAACTCAGAAGGCAACAAGGACGAATAAACAAACAAAGAACGCTTCAGATGAGATTGAATTGCGAAAAGTTTAAGTAGATAGCAAACCAGGAAAACAAACATGTAAGCAGAGAGGTTGGTTATACATAGAAACATGAAGAACTGATCATTTTGAGAGTGCTCAACTCTAGAAAAATGCTTATTGAGATAAAATATTACTGAATACAGAATTGTGTCTGAGTCGACATGCATAGTCGTCTAGACATAATCATTATTTCAGGTCTGCTCTTAGTTATGATGCGATGATGATCATCACTGAATTGAATTTAAAATCACATTTTGTATGAGATAGATAAACAGGTATAAAATAAAACAGCTGATAATTATCTTCGTTGGAACCGAACAGATGGTACCGTAATATTTCGACGATACAATAATTTTGATTTTATATTCTGGAGTGATCGTGATCATTTGTTGATATTTGCGATTTTTGATTTGGTCGTTGTCGAAAAACTAATTGTTTTCAGTTCAAAAAGTCGAGTTATTTGCGGTCGAAATAGCAAAAGACAAGTAATTATTCAACAATGCCAACATACTCGAAATGGTAAAGCGATAAACAAACGAATATATACGTTACAATAAGTCGTGAAGGGACATGAAAAATGAATGCAAAAAAATAATATTAGAATGAAATCATCTGTAACCATCACGTCTCAGATGGCTCGGATTCAGGATTGAATGCTATCAAAACAGAGTGACGATTAAGTGCTCGAAAGCTTACATTGATCAAACGATATCAAACGATCACTGATGAGATCGGAATCGATTCCTCTTGATTAACTAAGCAATCAAGATGAACGCTTATTAACAGATGATGAAAACAGCAAACATACAGATATTCAAGTTATTCTCTACGCGTACATTCGAAACAACCGATCAAAGAATAAAATGAGAACTTTAAAATCTTTTTCTCATTCTTATTTGACAGAAAAATATCATCTGAATCATCGGAAAGAATGTAAATATGGATTATTTTGTTCATGCGTAAGAACTTAAGCCGGTTCCTAGGGGGTTTGCGACTAGGAATTTTCGAATAAATTGTTTGGAGGATATGAAAGCTGTCGTTTGTTTGACAAGACGGGAAATGGCAGGTAAAAATGAAAGTGATTTTGATAAACTATACATAGATAGTAGGCTTCGTAAATGAGAGTAACTGACTTTGGTCATAACAAAATGATAGGAACATATCCGCCGAATAGCACTTACGAAGAAAACGGTCTGAAAACGCACAGGTAGAAACAAACGATATCGCATCGCTAAGAATATGTCGATATTTGGTCAACGAGAGAGTCAAGTGATGCGATGCTCGCTGCTTTTGAGCCGATGCACATTGCATGTTGCGCATCAGGCATCGAATTTGAACATCGTATTGTATGATAGATGTGAACAAGACCGGGATCTGGTGCCCTTAATACCCGTAATGGTGAACGAACACATTTCTCGAATAAATCAACATCCTCCATTCCCCAACCCTTCAACATTTTCATTATTAAACAACTTTCTTTAGAGCAGTACTTTTTAGCTAATCCCACAGCTAGGCTGAGGATGAACACAGTCGAATTACCCACCTTCCGTTTCCTACTAAGCACAATATTGTGACTGCTTTGAATTCTGTTTAACAGTGACACTTATAATATCTGGAATCATGCTTTTACATCGCCAAATGTAAAAGCATGCCTTTATGTGCAACTACAATAAATGATCATCCATAACTGGAGACAAACATCCCATACAAAATTCAGCCAAAAATATTACACGCAAAGGTTGGGTGTAGCATTCAAATATTTTAGAACTGTAAAGAATATCCACTAGGATTCAAAGTTTGTGGTTCTTTCGGCATATTTGCCCATTTGCAGATGGTTTTCACGCACTAGTGGAAAAATCACACAGTTTGAGAACATCTGTTTTAAAGCACATTTGCATGAATGTTGAAAAAAAAAATTCTGAAACTCACTTTGATTTAACTCTTCGTCAAAAAATGCGGAAAGTATCAAAGAAGACAAAACTCGCCTTTATGTTGAGATTAAGCCCACCGACCAGATCAAGATCAGCACGATAAATTGATACTAGACCAAATCCAAAGTGACGAAAATATCCACGCCTACGTCCGTAATGGAACGCATCCGATAGCAGACGATCATTGTCTGACCATGTTTCAGGAGAATATTCACTGAAGACGATTGGAAAGTAAACCTAAAATGTCGTAGTGATTACCTTTTGGATGTGTAGTTTTGCGCAACCAGAAATATTGTCGAATCGGATACTGTGCAATACCAACAAACAACCAAAAAGTTTACAACTTTCAGAACAGCCATTATGATAAGCAACCTCTAATAGCGACAACTCTATTTGTTAATTTTGATATTGATACTGCTTACAGTATGATTAGTACTTCTTCATCCTTAACAAATCGCTGTAATAACTGCGTTTGACGTTCAAAATCCATGGCGTAATTAAGATTTTGTGTCGATTGAGGAAATGAAACAACAATGTACAACTAGTGTTTGGGCTTGTGCAAAAGTAAGCTTATGAAAAGAGGGAAATCACTGGCAACGATTATATTTCAGTAAATAGATGATAGATGCTGAACGAAACCAATTAATGAAATGACTACCTGCGCTCCTCGGATTGTATTAAGACGAATTCGTTGCAATGTTTCACATGTGAATAACATATCAACGTCTGTAAAGAACATGAGCGCATCAGATGGCAATGAAGCTGCACCACGCGATAAGGCAACACCTCTGCTGAATGCTTGACGACCCATTTCGATCACCTGCAAGACATGATGATTCATCAATAGATTTTATCCGTAAATTAACCTCGAAGAGAATTATCTTCAACTTTTGACTTACTAAAAATAAAAATCTCCAACTTGCAAAATACTTCCTCTAAACTTATAATTTTAAAATCGTCACCTGAATATCAATTTCATCATAAATTTCTTTGAGGGTTCGACGAATGGCCGCATCTTCTTCAGGAGTCGAGTCGAAAAGAACGACGATCAATGAAAATTGGTTCGTAAATGCACACACTCCACGCAAGTGATCAGTGAATCTAAAGGAATATGAGAAATAATTTCGGAACCGCTAATGCTTGGCACACTTTTCAGTGTCTAACAAATTTAAGCGTAATCCTATCAAGTTAAAGAATATACTATCATTATGCAAAATACTATCTCAGTTTGCAACAATTCAATTCATCAAACGACAATCAGGTGGTGAGTGAATGCCAATGCATCAAGACAAAATAAATTATAGTAATTTATATCAAAACGGCGAGCGAAAAAAAAACGGAATTTATTTTCGGATTCAATCCAGAAAAGAAAAGCAAACGTTTCATCGTGGTGCGATTGCATATCACAGTTTTTTACTTCAAAAAATCACCAGTCAAATAATGCCTTCATAAAAGTATGTAAATGAATTCAAGTACAGTAGACGCTTCATGAGGCGTCGTATCGCATTAAGTTACAATTCATCGATACACTTTTGAATAATGTTTTGAAAATGATTACCGTTTGAACGTGTCCGCACGACCAGATAGTGGTAGAATCATGAAAATATGCGACTGCTCAGGTGGAAGAGAGACTTTGGACCAATCGAGTTGTTCAGTCGAATTGAGTTTTTTCTTTTGTATAATTTTGTTGATGCGTTTTCGAAGCGAATCCCTTAGATGCCCATCCGATACGGCTTCCAACGAACCAAATGTTTGTTGTACGTATGCATGGCGTCTTACCGATAGCGTTGCTCTAAATTTTCACAAGCTTACCTCTGAGCGTACTGTCAATAGCTTAGTTGGCATGAAATGCTACAGAATAACGAAGTGCAATAAAAAGGATGGCAATTAAATGAATAACGGAGCAATCGAAAAACCTATGCGGTGCTCTGAATTTTTTGAACCATAAGATCATATCAAGAACATAATCAACACCAAATCGCGGCTCAACACGCACATATCCATACTGGATATTCTGGAATTGCAGAACACGACCACGTTGTCGTGCATTCGAATTGAATTCATCGAAAAGCTGCAATCACGACACGAATACAACAATGAATAAACCCATCGTTATGCATCGAAAAAACGACATTGTCAAACCCGTAACTGTCAAACCCGAGACAATATTACCAAAGGATCAACAGATAACGATTCATCAGCAAAAACACCCGAGGATATAAGCGAATAAAATGAGAAGTTCACTCACTTGAGTGATCACATCACTGATTGCGGTACGTATGCTAAGATCAACTGTATGTCGCGGACAATTCACTTGATCGGCACAAAACAGAATACTGTTTGATGAAATAAAGTCCCAATGCCTTAAATCATGCGTTGTATTCGCGATATGTCGATTGAGTGAAGGTGCATGCGAGAGTGGAAGATCAGCAATTAATGCGATACGTGTTGAACGGAGTTTAGCGAGTTGTAAGGAGCGATCATATGAATGCATTCGGCGCATTAATGTTGATTTTTTGATAGGATGAAGAGTAATGGCACGTCGCAGTTCAGTGATAGCACCTTCATAAGCGTATGGCACTGTTTGATTATTGTGGAAGAGTGCTTGCATCTCGTAGTTCCATGTGCAAGCCACACCAACATGCTTACGAATACATCTGAACTTTTGTAAATGCAACTATTAATCTGTTGAAATTTTTCTTCAAGAAAATCGGTCTTATGCAAAATGATGGCTAAAGAAATTAGCTGCATGGGATTAACCACAGCTTATAGTTATTTTCAAAAAATTGAGCACGATAAGATCAACAAACACAAAAAGCATGCGAATAAAACTGAATCGCCCGCTGCGTTATCAGTGCGAATGAGAAAATTGTGATTGTTCTAATATAATGTCGTGCAGAAACAGATTCTGACGTCTGGCTGAACGTTATGCCGGTACGATGTCCACGTCAAAAATACTGTTTATGTAGACGCTACCTGCCCAGCTCAACATCCTCATGTGTGGTCAACATCGCCATTAAGCACGACCGCAAATATGGTGCTACAACTCGAAGTGTTTCACGTGACATCACAACACCAGGCCCACCCATACAATAGTTATCTTGTTGTCCCAGTGCCAACTGTCCATATTCAGCCGTGTTCCCCAGTCCAGCTTGACCCAACAGCTGAGCCTTGTCCGAATCAAGCGATCTAGAATTTAATTACGGGCATCTGAGACTGGTTAAATAATCATTTCATTGTTCGATGTTCATAGAAGTAATGATTAAATGAAAGTCAGAATACTGCACTGTGCATTTTAAACACCCATTCTGACGACATTCAAGTGAAATTCATCAACAATGACGTTCATTCCCGAATTATTTGAAAATAACAAATTTCAAAATTTGTTGATGCCCAATTCCTTTGCATCAGCAGGTACAGCATGGATTCAGTTTCGTCGATCCGAACTCAACAGTTCTCAGTATTCTTTCAAATAATCTGATTAATTTCCAAAATTTCTCCTTTCCTTTCCTTTCAAAAAGTTCATTGCACGCTCCCCTCCACTGAATATAAGACCTCATCATTTACGTTTTGCCAATGTAAAAAAGAAATCAACGCAAAATGATACCGCAATAATTGTTCCAATTTCTCAACACGAACATACAAATCATCATCAGCACGCATAAACCAATCGAAATCATTCAACTGAAACACTCCTTCCAAAATGTCCAATAAAAACTTCCATGAAACACTGTATAATAAAAGAAAGCAAATGCAACAGATCCATTGCGAATGTTTCATTTGTTTTAATTTCATTTGCAATTTGTCTGCGTGATGCTTAGTTAAATAAATCACAATCTATTCAGCTCACTTCAATCACAATAAGATGTTTAAGGCGACATACATGATTATCAGCTATCCACTTCATCATCGCAAACGACTTCTTCTGAGGTGGATAAACGTCATTAACACCCTTCAACTGCACTAATGGCATGTCTTCGTGAATACTCGTCGTATCTTCAGCCACAAAGAACAATATCTGTGAAGAAAGCTTTGTTGAAGTCATTCACAAAGAAAAGAACAAGTTTTGATTCTGAAGACGATGCGATGAAATCTAATTTAGCTAAGCAGTAAATTTTGAGTGAATGAATTAGGAATAAACATTCCCAAACAACTGTGTTTCATAGGTGAATTATGGACTCCAGCATTGCTCATTTCGACGTTTATTGGGGGTTGTACCTAACTAACGTCTTCATCATTTTCTCGCACAATATTACTATGCATTCAACAAAAAATCAAATGTGTTCAGAATTCTAGAGTTGAAATAATCGAGATTCGGTGTAAGTTCTGTATACATGCATTTTATGAATAACGCACAGCAACTTGTTTTGCCCATATCATCTATACTCACTGAACAATTACGGATAAGTTCATAGCGATTTACCGATCGCATCGTTTCGTAATCAATTGGTTGTTGCATTTAGTTCGTAATGCGAAAATTTTCAGTTCTTCAATTTACATTTATCAACAGTGCTGAAATCGGCTCAAGCAAGTGAAGTAAAAGGCTCCGTTAAAAATTGATTCCTAACACTGAATAATCAAACATCCATCTACCTTGCCAGTAATATGTTGACCCCACGTTTTCCAAACATTGTATGCACGTGTATCAACGTATTTTGCAGCCGTCATGACGCCAACTAACAATAAACGTGGTTCTTTTGCCTGCAGCATTTCATAAAGTTTTCTTTTTTTTCAACAAAAATTCGGTAGAATTAAAGAATCAAAAGAGAGTTCGTTGCGCTTAGAAAAGATGCTCGAATGCACTTTGGGATGATGTGTTTGAATGCATTCTCGAATGGTGAATAGTGTTTGAATGCACTCTGGAATAGTGTTTTGCATTGATATGCCAGTATGTTGTTACCGCAACTGGCAATTTCAGGACAAAGCTCATTCAAAACGGAGATCGAACGCCGCAGATACACTGATAAAATATCGCACAAAATACGCTATGCATCACCATACAAAATTTTCATTGAATGATTGATATTTCTGTGGAGAGAATGTTTTTTTTTGGATGAAAAATAAGTGTAAAAATTAAGTACGAATTTGGTTTGAAAGCTTCATTTATGAAGCTCATTGCAAGCAAATGATAATGTTATGACTGAAATGCATTTAGTTCAGTTCGAACGCAAAGAGATAAGCGAATGATGTCAACAAGAAAAAAAAACAGAGGGATTTAGCGACGAACTTTAGCAACAATACCATCGCAGTAAGATGTATGAGGAACCCGTCGAACAGTTGAGAGCATGAGTGTGCCACTCATACCGAATACCATCCCAAAAAGGCATACCAGCGCTGATCTTGACATACGTAAACGACCCTTACGCCAGAACATCATTTTCTCATCAATACTAACACACAATTCCACGGACAATTATTTCGTTGAGCTGAAAACAACAATTTGAATTTCTGATCAAAGGAGAAGAACCAAAATAATAGAAAAAGACTGTGCTAATATCGCGAAAGTTGCAAAATTGATATATTGTCAAATATTGCGACTGTTTACAATTATGCGATAATCTTCATGTTATCGCTTCATCCCTTTCATGAATATGCTTTGTTCATACTCAAAACGTTTGGTGAATGACAATGCAACCGACAAAAAATCGCTCGTAAACTTGATAAAAAGCTCACAATCAGTTTTCAATGAAACCTACGTGATCGTCTAATTTTAATTCTATAACGATGCATCACTTTTTTATGCATTTCTTTCCCACGTCAATATTAGCATTCGAAATCTATGCAACACCATCAATAAATCATTATGGAATCTTATGTAAAAATTTTGGAATTGAATGAAACAATTTTACGTTTAAAAAAACTTCTCACTGAATGGTTAATATTGTCCATATCGTTACCATTTTTAATGTCATTATTGTACGGAAAGCTATGAGGAAAGAAAGAGAAAATTGTAATAGAGAGGAGTTGAATAGGAAAAACAATAAATGATGTTCACTTGGTCTCATTGAAATCAGATAAAGTTAACGTGAGAACGGAAGACTGAAATCGTTCAAAATCAGTCATTAGTGCTAATCCCATTTGAATGTTATGTTCGTAAACATATATCGTATTGTACAAAACGTAGACACCTAGACGACCATGCATACAAACGTGCAGCGATAGCAATGAACGACGTTTACGAGTGTATCTATTGAACCACTGAATTGCTAGTCCAGTGAAGATTTTAATTTGATCAGTGTTCGACAACTGATCACATGAATCG